GGGGGGGGGGTCCCTGCGGGTGTGCAATGATAAGACGGCACCTCAACAATTGGGACTAACAGTCCACCCCGGTATAGGGCTCGACACCGGCCCGGCACCAGCGGGAAGCACCCTTACCTCTCTAGGCAAACCTGGCGCGGGTTCCCGTGCAGACCGCAGAGCACTCCTGGCGCCTCCCCGCGACAGCTGGTGTCTCCCACCAGCCGGGAGCCGCCTGTGATTTGCATACCCATGGTGCACCACGAAGGGACAGTTTCACGCTGCTGGAGTTCCAGCCCCACGGAGATTTGTGCACTGTTGTAGGGCATACTGCCTGTTAGAAATACATGATCCGTACAAATTCCAGGCAGGGAGCACGAACCGTGCAGACACTGAACAACCATAATTGTGCTAAGTGTTGTATTGTTCTAGGAGGTTCCAAGCAGGTGCGTGAGAGCATACTCTGGTTTCTCTTCAGATCGTATAAATCTTTCGCCTTTTACTAAAGATTTCCGTGGAGAGAAACAGTTGTGAGTTTTTACTCGAATTTTTGAGGCCTCTTTGAACGAGGCTTTTTCTTTCATGGTTTAAAAAAAAGATCTGACGATTTTCTGAGTCACCTAGTTATAAAAAGAACTACGTTGAAAATCTAATTTAGAGTTTGTTTTTCTATATATAGGTTTACGTTCTAGATTGGTGCTATGTGAGAATATTTCGGGCAAAATGTTCTTGCGCGTCAGTGTTTTTTTTGCCTTTCTATAGGTTATCTTTTCTAGATTCTTTTTGCGATTTTGTTTCTTGTAGTACTCAGCTGTAGGTTATCCCAACTTACTCTTCGGGAGGGGAAGGACCAGAAAGAGAAGGTAGAAGTCTTTCATGTTCCTCCCAATATTTTTGGCTTGAAATAAAGCAGGAAGGGTAAGTAAGCTCAGTAGTTCCCTACCTCCCATCAGACTCCCTAGCTGTCTCCGCCGCAGCTTGGTATGATTTTTCACATTGATTTACCCCCATCCAACTCTCTACGCTGGTTTTTCATGCTGAAGATAGCAGATTCCTTACTATAAGGAAGGGGCTTAATTTACGAGTAGAACCAAGCCCTGAAAGAAAGTGGGTAATATAATCGGGATAAGTAATATACAATCTCAGTGATAAGTTGCCATACAGAAGCATTATGAGAGATAGGTGGCTAGGGCTAGCCACCAAATGTGTCCTCAGATTTTGGACCCAGCTCCTCCCGCCAATCTGCATCTTCTTGCCCAAGCTCATTTAATTCTCTGGCTTTAAGTAAATACTATCTCATAACTGGAGAGGGTCCATAAATTTACAGCCATCAGCAGGTCCCATTGATGACCATATTCAAAGCATACACTTCATGCTGCTACATTTTACCTACTCCGCCCTGGTCCTAGAAGAGCTCTTCACGGATTCATGCGAAAACCCCTCCCTAACTGTTCTTAGATTGCATCCCGTCCCCTCCTACCACTTTATCCCAAACTTCCACACAACACACACAGAGAAATTGGGGGTTTTTTTAATGTTACTTTTGAAAAATATTTATTTGAGAGTGCACGCTCAAGTGGGGGAGGGGCAGAGGGAGAGGGCGAGGGAGAAGAAGAAGCTGGCTTCCCCTGAACAGGAGCCCATCCGGGATCTTGACCTGAGCCTAAGGTCAGCCGCTTAACCGACTGAGCCACCCAGGTGCCCCTACCTCATACTCTTTAAACCATCATATTCCTTCATGACTATCCACTCTTCATCAAACCTAGCATAAAAATACTCAGGTTTAACCATTTCTTCTGGTCTTCATTTCCTTATGAAGACTCCCATATTACTAAAACTTATATTGGGGCGCCCGGCTAACTCAGTCCGGGGAGTATGCGACTCTTGATTGAACTTGGAGTTGTTTTATTTTATTTTAAGATTTTATTTATTTGACAGAGAGAGACACAGCGAGAGAGGGAACACAAGCAGGGGCAGAAGGAGAGGGTGAAGCAGGCTTCCTGCGGAGCAGGGAGCCCGATGCGGGGCACGATCCCAGGACCCTGGGATCATGACCTGAGCCAAAGGCAGACGCTTAACTGACTGAGCCACCCAGGCGCCCCTGATCTTGGGTTGTGAGTATGAGTCCCACGTTGGATGTAGAGATTACGTAATGAAACATCTGAAATAAATTTGTATGCTTTTCTCCTGTTAATCTGTCTTTATCAGTTTAATTTTCAGACCCAAGAAGGGACCCTAAGAGGGGAAAGGAAAACTTCCTCCCCTACACTACCTTTTCTTTTGGCAAAAGGAATCGTGCTCTACTTGGTCTGCACTGAGCTTTTTTCCAAAGGTCACAGATATCTTTCTACATCATGGTAAGAATATACCATAATCAGTCTTCTAGGCTAAACCAGGACATCTAGTTTGTTTTTGATTCTCATTATCCAAACAATGCTGCCATGAAGTGGTACTATGAGTAACCACATTTTCAGTCTTGAGAGATAATGCCAAATAACTATCTTTAATTCATGTGCAACATATTTTTGTATAAAATCCCGGAGAAATAAGTTTTAACCTTATTTTCTTCTAATCGACTGTCCCTCATTTTAGATTGATAGTGTCTTGTTTTACAGCTTTTTGGAATAAAATAGTATTTAAATAAGGAAATAAAGTCATCACTGAACATTTACAGAGCACTGATGTGACAGGGACTGGGGAACAAGAAATGAATAAGGCACCACTCTAGGCCCAGGGATCTTTCAGGGAGAATCAGATCCTCAGGAAGACAAAAGGTATAATGAATGAAAGGGTGGCATGGGGAGTCTTCAATAAATAAGAGAGTGAATGCCCAGCCAGAGGATACTGCCTTCAGAACCAGTGATTTAATGCAAAGGTAGGAGCTGAGAGAAGAGTTACCACTAGTAATTCTGAGCGTCCTGAGAGTGAACTAGTGTATTTTGTCCTGAGAGCAATGGGGATGTTGAGTGGCTTCATAAGGGGAGTAGGGCTGACATCTTAAGTCTGGCTGCTGTGTGGGAAATGGCAGGAAGAGGGGCATGGCAGGCGCGGAGGCAGTGCACTGGAGTGAAGGCAGGAAGACTATTAAGAGCTTGTTATGGGGCGCCTGGGTGGCTCAGTCAGTTAAACATCTGCCTTTGGCTCAGGTCATGGTCCCAGGGTCCTGGGATTGAGCCCCACATCGGGCTCCCTGCTCAGCCGGGGCCTGCTTCTCCCTCTCCTCCCCGCTTGTGCTCTCTCTCAATATCTCTGTCACTATCTCTCCCTCTCTCTCAAATAAACAAATAATAAAAAACTTAAAAAAAAAAAAGAGCTTGTTACTTTCATTCTGAACACAGACAGGACTGGGTGAACTAAAGCTAAGAGAACTGAACCAACTGGAAAGATCTCATAGGGGAAGAAAAATAACTTTCCCTCTACTCTCTGAGCTCTTGGCTGAAACCCTTGTAGTAAGTAAGAGACAGATTAACAAAAGAAAAACAAGTTTATTAACATGTATACCTCATGTGTACGTGGCAGATACCCAGGGAAAAAGGAGTACCTCCCTGAGGCAGCCTAAAATACCTGCTGAAAAACCATCTTAAGCTAAAGAGGAAAGAAAAGTGTAGGGAGGACACTTATGGGGGAGCCACCAAGAAAAGCATAGTAAACAAGATAAGGTTTGTTAAACAGATTTCAGTGGGGTGCCTTCTCCACTAAAATCCTCCTGTGAGTTCATCATCCTTCTTTTCCTGGTACAGAGAATGAGACACCCTTACAAATGGAGATTTCCTTTTTAAATATAAATTTCCCTTCCAAAAGAGTAACTTCTACTCTGTTTCCAGAGCTTCCGCTGTTTCTCAAAATAGTCAGTTCAAAATAATCCTTAAAGAGGCATCTTTTGGGTTGGCACATTCTGCTACCCTTCAGTCTCTCAGAAGGTGGAAGCCACGGGAAGGAGATGTGAGAAAGAGGAATAAGGCAAGGCTGAGATGCAGGTTTCTGGCTTAAGACACCCACGTAGGGGCGCCTGGGTGGCTCAGTCCTTAGGCGTCTGCCTTCGGCTCAGGTCATGATCTCAGGGTCCTGGGATCGAGCCCCGCATCGGACTCCCTGCTCAGCCAGAGGCCTGCTTCTCCCTCTCCCACTCCCCCTGCCTGTGTTCCCTCTCTCCCTGTGTCTCTGTCAAATAAATAAATTTAAAAATTAAAAAAAAAAAGACACCCACGTAGATGAGAAACACGATAGGGGCAAAACTTGGGAAAGATGAGAAGGCAGCTCAATTTTGAACTGAGTCTGAAGTGTCCAGCATTTGGAGAGAGATCTCCAAGACGTAGGTCTGGAATAAAGAGGGAGCTGAGCTGAAAACATGGGGGAGGGGGGGTTATAAAAGTAAACGCGACAGGCCCGCGTGGCCAGAGGCCCAGGAGTTAGTCAGGATGAGGGTGCAAAGGAAATCGCTTTGGGGCCCCGCCCCGCTCCGCCCCGCAAAGCCACGCCCACTCCCCCTCCTTCCCCTCCCTCCCAACCACACCCACAGGGCGGGGCGCAGAGCGGACCGGGGTTCTTCCAGCTCCAGGCTCGCAGGGCATGCTGGGGGCGAAAGCCCCCTCTGAGCGCCAGGCATGTTGGGAGCTGTAGTTTGGGACAGGCCAGAATTCCTCGCAAATCGCGGCCTTTGGTCACTTAAAGGGCAGGTCCAGAAAGCAGTGATGCTCCCGGGGCAGGGTTCCCCTCCGGCGGCGGCATGGGGCGCCCCGGGCTGCATCCCCTCTCCGCAGAGCGTGGCACTTCCACGCCTCTACGATCTGCTCCACCTGCAGGGGAAGGCTGGTCACGGCGGAGTGCAGCAGTAGCCCGCCTCGCCCCTCAGACCCTGGGCCGCAACCCCCCACCCCCGCGCTTCTCCCTCCCCGCCCCCCGGCTGCTGAGTGGATCTGAGTTTGGTTCCCCGCGTCCGCACCGGGATGAGCGGCTCCTGCTGGTTCTGCTCTTCCAGGGCGCTCAGCTCCGCCGGGGCCAGTAAGGCCAGTCTCAGCTCCCGCACCACCGGGGCCGCCACCTCGGCCACAGGCCGCTCCAGCACGGCCTGCGAACGCCAGCCCTAAGCCCGGACAGGCGGGGTACCTGCCCCGCGACCCGCTTGCCAGGTTCCTGCGCCCAAGCCTCCTTCCGCACCCCCACCGCTGGGTCCCCGTAGACCCCGCTCACCGCGCCCACGCGCGCCCACATCCGGGCAGCCAGGACGAGCTCAGCCTCGTCCACACAGAGCTTGTCGCTGCGCAGCAGGGGCAGCAACGCGGGCGCCGACAGCTCCAAGAAGCCGCGGGTCCGGAGCGCCTCCTGTGGGTCCACGAATGGGTCAGGGAGGAGCAGAATGATTGTGAGGGTTTGGGAGTCTGAAGATGGGGAGCGATACCTGGCTGTGGGCCTCTATGAAGGCTATACAACGCTCCTGCAGCGGCCCCAAGCCAAAGGTCACGGCAACCTGGGAACAGAATGAAGGGTGTCAGGTTGGAGGCTGGAAGGCCATGTAGTGAGCCCTCCACACTGATGCTCTCCTACAAGCCTGTCCAGCAACACCCACCTGCAAGGCCTCACAAACCAGCTCCACATCCAGCACCTTCACCACAAACTCCAGGCACAGCTGGGAACAGAAATGAAAGTGGGTTGGGCCAAGGTGTGTCTGCTCCAAGACCCTAGCCCCACCCCAGAAGCAGCGAGCCACCCAGACAACTAAGCAGCCACAAGCCCATCGTGACCTCCCAGACCGGGGGAGGCAAGAAATCACCAGGGGCTGAGACGTGGCAAGCCGGAAGGGACTAGAGACTAGCAGTCTGCCTTGGGTCCAGCAGTCTACCTTCTAGCACATTCCCCGATAATCAGACTAGACGAAAGCCATGTGAAGATCCACTCTCCCTTTCTCTGAGGACACTCATCTTCTTCCACTTGGACCCCTCCTGACTCAAAGATCCTTTCGTTTTAACCAGAAACGTGAATTTCGTCCATGACCTGTCCCTTTCACCCTCACATCCAGAAAAGTGCTGGGTCATGCCAGTTCCACTTCTCTCAAAGTCATGCACCTCCCTCTTGGGCTTCCACTGCTACTCATCCCTCCTGGACTGGGGAGCCTTTCTCATCTCTCCCAATCACTTCTCCCCTTAGCTCCAAATCCTCACTCCCTTACCTAAAACCTCCAATGAATCTCCATGTCCTCTGGGTAAAAAAAAGTCCAAATTCTCAAAGGTCCTACATGATCTAGCCCCTAGTACCCTCTCCAATCTCATCTGTCTCTCTCCTCCTCTCACACCCTTGGTCCAGCCACACTAAATGGCTCACTAGCTCCTTTTGTGCCTCAGTGACTAGAATGCCACCTTTCCACGCCCCCTCTGAGCAAACTCCTACCTGTTCTAACACGAATGTTTCCTCCTCCAAGAAGTCTTCCCTTCTTTTCTCCCTGATGGCAAGACCAGAGAGACCCTCTGTAGGGTCTCGGCACCATATACCTTCATCTATCACCCTTCTTATACCCCTGGTTAAGGGTTTTCATGTGTCTCTCTCTCTTTGAAGAGCAAGGATCAAGGCTGACTTATCCTGGCAACTACGGCATCAGCCCATATGCTCCCACAGCACACACACAGCACGCACATATCCTTCTGCACACAGGCCCACATAAATGCAGTCCATACCTCTGTGTTGGTACACGTGCCTCTCCAGGCCAGAGTGTGTGTGAGGCACGGGGTGAACTGAGCCCATAAGAGGGAAGAGAAATGAGACAGGGGCCTGCCATACAAACCCACCTCTCGCAGTTCCTCCAGCCCATACTCCACAGCCGCCGTCAGCACCTCCAGCACCTGCAGAGTGGGTGGTCGGGGGAGTGGAAGAGAGTTTCTCCTGCCCCTCCCCGCCAGCCCCACCACTGCCACCCAGACGTCCGCCCAGAGGGCTCACAGAGCGGCGGCGCAGCCTGACACTGTTGGTGTACAGGAACTCCAGCACTGCCAGGAAGGCCTCCACTGGCACCGCGCTCAGCACCACGGGGCTAGGCATCCCGGGGCCCAGCTTTGGGCCCAGAAGTCGTTGGAAGAAGTTGCATCTACAGGCCAACAAGCACCGGTGGGCAAACACCTCCTGCCGTTCTTGACCGACCACAAAGCAAACGTCACTGTGGGAAAGGGGAGGAGAGAACCAGGGAAGAAGAGGCCCGAGTCTTGGGTACAACCCTTAGGCTTTGCCTTTGTCCACTCTGAGCCTTCATTTCCTAATCTGTCATACAAGGGACAGGTCTTAGTCCTTCCAGCCGAAGGTCTGGGATACACATTCCTGGATTCTAGTCCCAGCTCCACCCTATGATGCCTCCGGCAAGTGACTTTATACCTTTGAATCTCAGGTTTCTCATCCGTGAAATGGGATAGTAATCCCAAACCCCCAGGTCTTAGAGGAGGTGGCGATGCCTGATCACTGAGGGGGCACCAAGGCTGCTGCAAAATTGATCCTACCTACCCCTCTCCTCCCCAGCCTGAGTCTTGAGGTAAGGGAAGCTCTTCTTGGCTCCTCCTCCATAGACTGCAAACTCAGCCTTTTTCGGCCTCCTCTAGGCGGGAGGGGGTGCAGAGCGCACTGGCTGCAGGCAGATAGGCAGCGATACATCATCATGAGACCAGACCACATTTTCCATCTTCATAATCACTTCCGGCCCCAGCCTCTGGGCCTCCCAACAGCATAGAGGGTAGGAGGCAGGAAATGAAGCTTGAGCTTCTGGAGCCTCCTAGTCCCAGGTCCAAGGCCAGGGGTTCCCCCTACTCACACCAGACTGCTAATCCCCAAAGCAGTAGGGTTATGGGAGTCACCAACCCTTGAGGAGTCTAGCTTTCAGGCAGTGGGGACTGAAAGCTACATTCTAGTTCTGACCAGCCCTGGCCCCATATTCTATCCCTGGTTTCAGACACCACTAGCATCCTGGGCAGTGAGCCCTAGGCAGCACCCTTGAACTACTTCCTGTCTGAGACTCTGGCTCACTCAATCCCTTGAGCTTTGTTCCTCTTGTGACTCCCCAGTTCCCAGAACAGGGTCATCTGCTCCTGTGCCTCCCAGGGAGGGACTCAAGTTATATCCCATCCCTCAGGATCCAGGGGGGCAAAGGGCTCTTCTCTGCCAGGAGCTCAAGAGCCAAAAAAGGAAGGCCTTTGCCTGAAGTCACACAGCTGCTCCGGGCTCCAGCTCCCACTGCCACCCCCCCCCCACCACCTCTGGCTCTCAGGACATCACGGACGATGAGTGACCTGTAGTCATTCTCCACACTTGACTTCCCCAGACTGAGTTCACCAGGGAGGAAGGTGGTCTTCCCCACCTCTTGTGTACCCAAGGCTTCCTCAGGGTGGTGGGGCCCAGCAAAGCCAGTTAGGGAAAACCCATAGACAGGGCCCGCCCCCTCACCTGTATTGGGGATTGTTGAGAAGGCTCCGGAGTGCCGTGGAAAAGGGTGCAGCCTCCCCGTGCACAACCAGTCCCGGGGGCTCCATGGGGGCGGGGCAGGGGAAGAAGCAGGTAGAATAGGAGGCCTGGTGTCTCTTGGTCTGTGGGAGGCGGTAGGTGGGAAGGAGCAGGAGGCCTGGCCAGGCCTAGCAGCTGGTGTGGAGACTAGAAAGGCCTGAGAGGGAGGGGCAGGAGCTTGGGAAGCCTGTTTGCTGGGAAGTTAAAGTTTATGGATGGGGCAGGAGAGGCCCAGGTTCCTTAAGAAGGCATCAGAGGCCAGAGGCTGGGCTAGGGGTGGGGACTCAGGGAGGGGGCCGAGAGAGGCTGAGGGTGGAGCAGACTGGACTGGGGAGGAGAGGCTGACGGCGGATGAGGCCCCAGCTGGGAGCCTGCCCAGGCAGCAGTGGGTGGGAAGCCTGTGGGTTTCCACGGAAACCGGAGCCCGGCTGGAGAGGCCCCGCCCATCTCCCACAGGCCCAGGGAAAACTTTAGCCCTCAGGGGGGCCGGAAGCTGAGTGGAGGGTCTTAGGACCCAGGCCCCTGCCTGTCTTGGGTTCAGAGTTCAAACTCCCTGCCCCTCCTACCCCTCCACCCACACGCACACAGGGTCAGGATCAGGTCAGCCAGGCCTGGGGAACCCCCCTCAACAGGGAAATTCCTCACCCCCATGGAGTTTTCAGGGCCCAGACTGGCTTGTCTGAGAGGGGGCAATCCTGTCCCTTCCAGAGGGAGGTCAGGTGAGGTGGTGTCAGCTCTGACAGAGACGTCGTGGCCTCTGGCATCCCTAAAATGCAACCCCGGTTAGGGGGCTGGCACTCTGGGCACTCAAGAGGTGTGGCCAGCTAGGGACAAGCCCCAGGGCACTTGGGTCAGCAGGGGTCAGGAGGCTGGGCTCTGGTTCACTGCCAAGTCCAGTCACCACTGTTGCACCACTGTTGCATCAGGTCGGCTCCCACCCGCAGGGCGGATGGCCTCCCCCCCACAGCCCCGAGCTGAGGAAGTCATCCAAGCCCCACCCCAGCTCTGCACAGGGAGCGGAAATATTTGTCCTTGTTGGGGCTGATGGGGAGACGATAGAGCCATGACGTCCTCCTTCCTGTGGGCCCAGATCCTGATCCCTCAGCAGCCACGCAAGGTCTCCCCACGTCCCAGGCTTCTGCAACTTGCTCACAACTGAAGAGCCAGGCTTCACAGGGGAGAAATGGACAGCAGCTCAAGAGCCCCGGGAGCCCCTCTCCACATCTGCCCCCTCCGGAGTCCTTGCGGTGGTAGTATGCCCTGGGTTCTAGACCCCTATTATCCCCTTTTCCCTGATGACTCAGGTACCCCACACTCAGCACCTACTCACAGTAGTAACACATCCAGGTTAAGCCAGAGCCAGGACTGGAAGGAGGGAACCAAACAGGAGTGCCTGCCCAGTAACCCAGGGCAACTCCACAACACAGGGGGCCATTACCTTCCTGCCTGCCAGTCAGGCCAGCCGGGAGGACAAGGCTGTGGCTAGGAGAGAGTTGGGAAGCCAAAAGCTGCAGGTGACTCAGGTGCCCATGGGAGTTTCGGAAGAGGGCATTCATCCCAGAGCTGATTCTGCAGGTAGGGCCAGAGGCCAAATTCAGAGGGCGGAAGGAGCTTCCCAAGTCACCTGCCTCCAGCCTCAGCCAGTTGTAGGGGCAATCTTTGTGTCAGCCACCCTAGAAGCACATAGGGCTGGAAGACAGCTGGATTCAGTACCCACAGGGCTAAAAGGATCTGTGGGGTTGAAGGAGTTGGGTCTGTGTCTCCTGGTTAGGGGTTTGAGGCACCACAGTCTAGGCTGAGGCAAACCAAGGGCAGACTTATCTCCCCCTTCTGCTGGCAAAGTCTGGTGGAAGGGAGAATAGGAGGTGTACTTAGAGCTCACTTAGCTAACCTCCATGGTGCCCACGTGAACGTGAAGCTCAGGGGGGCAGGGGCCAACCCAAGATGATAGTCTGAGCAGCACCAATTATGTCTTTAACAGCCTTTAACGCTTGAAGCACCTAGGAATCCACGCAGCCCCAGACTATGTGATTCGCCTGTCCCCAGAACACAGGTAAGAAGGGGTTAGGGGCTAAAAACCCTTATCACTGAGTGAAAGACTGGATGGGGTACAACGACGGCCAGTTTAGGCCATCCTGTCCAAGTGTGGGTCTCCCAGCTGGCAGGTCCATGGCTGGCAGGTCTGTGGCCCCCGGACGCCAGGAGGAGGACACTACCAAAGACCCCGGGCTCAAACGATCGCCGGTGAGGCCTCCAGGCCACCTGCCCAGTATTGATGAGGCGCGACTAGCAGGTCTGGGCCCGTCCTCCCGCCGTGGCTCTGTGCTGGGCCCAGCCTCGTCCTTCTCACGTCGCAACTCGCTGGCAGGACCAGGCGCAGGTCCGGGGGGTCGACGACCATCTCTGGGCCCAGTGCCTCCTCTGGGCTCAAGGGTTAGCTTCTCGGGGTTGCCCCCAGCCCCCCTGCGTTGGGTGGCGCCCTCCTACCGCACAGAGCCTGCGCCAGGGGAGCGCTGGGAGGCTGCGCGCGTACAGCAAGCCCTGGAGGCGGCGCTGGCTGCTCGGCTGTGCCACGCTTGCTACTCGGGCGCTGAGGCCGGGCCGCTGGCTCGCGAGCTGTGCGAGCTGCTGCGTGTGCGCCTGCGCGAACTCTGTCCCCCGCGCTACAAGCTCGTGTGCAACGTGGTGCTCGGGCCGCGCGTCGGCCAGGGCGTGCACGTGGGCAGCCGCGCACTCTGGGACACCGAGCGCGACGGGCTGGCCTCCGCCGCCTTCACCAACGCCTCCCTCTTCGCTGTGGCTATGGTCCACGGGCTCTACTGCGAGTGAGGACGCCTCCAAGTTCTGCAAAATGGTTTATTATCCCAGGAGGAGGCCCTCCCTGGGGCTCAATCCCAATAAATAAGTCTGCCAATAAATAAAAGTGGTCCATAAATAACGCCCCCTAGCTGGGGACTAAGGCTCAGGCTTTTCTTGGAGAGGGGGTAGGAGGCTGCTGGGACACGCAGACTCCAACCCCAGTAAAGCTGGTCCCTGATTCCCTGGGGGATTCGGCCCAGAGCCCCCAGTGAGGCACCAAAGGGACAGGGAGGCCCACAAAGGCAAGGGCCAGAGCCTTACAGGCACAGGCCTCAGACCTGAGGCTTTAGGTCATGGCCTGCTCTGCAGGTTAGGGCCTAGGCTGGGCAGCGGTCCCGGAGCAGACGTAGAGCATAGCGGAGCCGCTGCCGCAGGGCCGGGGAACAGCCCAGCTGGCGCAGGTGGGAAGCGAGGTAAGTACAAGCACTGCGGTTGCGGGCCACGAAAGTCACAAGCAGGGGCTCCCAGCCACTGAGGATCAGCTTGGTGTGGTCTCCGTAGAAGTTTACCTGTGCACAGAAGGGTGGCACTGTTCAGGGCCTAGGCCCCAGATCCAGTTTCCTCTCCAGCACCATGGGTCTCCCAGACCTTCCCCCCAAGGCCAGGAGGGGTTCTCACCTGGACAGTGCCATCACTGAACAGCATGAGTAGGGCCTGATCCGTCTTGACCCACTGCAGCAGGAGTGGGGGGACAGGCACCTCCACCTCTTCCACACTGGGCAGATCTCCACCCTGGGGGCAGGAGCAGGTCACTTGTCTGGCATGAGTCACGCCCCTCCTCCTTGATGGCTCCCACAGAGGTTCAGCCTCTAGCTCTGAGCCCCCCACCCCTCCCGCCAAGGCGAAGATGAAGGGATTAGGATGTGTTCATCCTCCATGGGCCCCACTCCAGTGCGCACACCTTCATGAGATGCTGCTCCATGTAGGAGGCAAAATACCGGAGGACGCCCAGCTGAGGCTGCAGGGCCCGAGGCACAGCCCCCACAGAGAAGGCCACGTGCTTTGTGCTGGCGGGGCTATAGTGCACAGTCCTGGAGGAGAGGAGACGAGAGGTCAGAGGGAGCCCGGCGCCGAAGCCCGTTCCCTGGAGACCCCAGGCCCCCCCAGTGCAGGAGCACACACGTGCTGGGCACAAGGGCACTCCAGAACAGCACTTACTTTCTGTTGGCTGAAAGGGCCATGTGTGTGCCATTGTTGAAAAGCACAGCCACCCGGCGGCTGGACAGTTGATACCCAAAGCCAAATTTGTTGGAGTAGTCAACCCACTTGCTGACCCATACCAGAGGCTCCGGCTGTGCCAGGGGAGCTGGGTTCTGTTCCGCTGTCATGGAAGAGGAAGGAGTGAGGACCTGTTCCCCACCTTTCAGCCAAAGAACTCCCAACCACCATTCACCATATCGGACCCCACCCTTACCTGGGGGCATGAAGGCCAGGCAGTTTCTCAAAGCACAGAGGGCTGACTCCACCACTGTGGCCACAGTCAGACCTTCTTCAAACCCTGAAGGGAACAGGGCACCTGGAATTAGGCATTAGTTCGCCAGGACACAGGCCATGTCTCTCTGACACTCCTTCCCTCTGGTCCCTGGTCTTAGCCCCAACAACCTCTAGCACCTCTCATCCTCTTGGCTGCTCACCATCTCCGCTGCTCGCCAATGTCCCACGGGGTGAGCTGTCTTCAGGCACTGTCTCTACCAAGCTGAGGGGGGCAGGACCGGAAGCTGCTGGAGCCTGGACGGTTGGGGAGGGGAAGGGAGTGAGATAGGCCTCAAAATCCAAATCCTCGAGAGTCCATGGCCCAGCCTTGCCCTGGCAGCCGGGGCACCCCAGGTCAGCCCCGCCTGGCTAATGAGACACAGCCAATTAGGCCACCACGAGGCTAGATGCTTCACTAGCTTCTTTTATCCCAGGCTTCCTGCAGCAGCTAGGGTGAGAGTGAGTCAGGGCACACTACCCATGTGAGTCCCTCACCTCAGGCCTGGCATCTTGATGGCCAATGGACGTCCGAGTGAGGCCGTTCACCAAACAGGAGACCTCATCCCGCTCCTCAGGATGGTTTTTACCTGGGTGTGGGAAGATACAACCCTCATATCCTGCCCACCCCCACCCCCGGGCTTCCTGCAGGGATACAGATGGGCACATGCTCTCCCCAGGGGTTCAGAGGCATTCACACTCATGCCCCCACAATATAGGTACCAAGCCCCCCTGCCACGCTCTACCCTCCACACACTGACATTCCAGACTTACTTTTCTTCTTCCTGCCAAAGAGGCTCTTGGTAACTTTGACAAACAGGATCCTAGCTGGGTTAAGGGGTATCAGGTCTGGGACTGTCACACAGCTGCTGACAGGGAGCCGGTCAGGGGTGTAGCCCTGAGGAGGGAAGTCAAGTGAGCAAAGAAGGGAGGCCCCAGGAGTCCTGTCACCTACCCCCACTGAATCCCCCGGGAACATGCAGAGTTGACTTAGATGTCTGGGGAGCCACAGACCTTGGTAAAGAAGTCATGGCGCAGGATCTGGTCAATTGAGGGGCGGTCTTGGGGCGAGGCTCGAAGGATGGCAGCCAGGAGCTGCCGGGCGGGCAGTGAGAGGCTGGCGGGCAGTGTGTAGTGAACCTGTTTGATGCAGCGATATGTCTCCTTCAAGTCAACTGTCTCAAAGGGGGGATTCCCGCACAGCAGTGTGTACCTGAAGGGCAGAGATGAGGGTGTCAGGAGTACAGCAGAAGGTACACCCCACCCGGGCCCCCACCAGTGTACGATGACCCTGGGGCTCACATGACACAGCCCAAGGACCACACGTCTGCCTCAGGGCCGTGGCCCTGTCTCTGCAGCACTTCTGGAGCCACATAGTTGGGGGTGCCACAGATGGTTCTGAAAAGGGACAGGGAGGAAGAGAGAAGAAGGTTCAGGCCCAGCCTGGCTAGCCCCCCCTTCCCTGCCCTCACTGTGAGTCCAGACAAAGCAGCTGCCTGTCACCAAAGGCAAGAGAACTCCTGCTTGTCCTGGGACAATGGATGCTGGGGATGGCAGCTGAGTCCCCGCCCACCCGCCTGGCCCAGC